ATTATGTTGAAATAAAGATGTATTTTTTCTGATTTAAATTCACCAATTCCTGAAAAATCTTTACGTGGATACAGGTTAGGGATCTGTGAATCTCAGGTTGAGATTCCTGTCTTATAGATAAGGTTGGCTTAAAAAAATTATGTAGCAAATACTGGAATTACTTTGTGATTATAAAAATATTCTTTTAGTGATTCCATTTATAAAACAAATTCTTAAAAATACTTAAAATTACTAATGGAAAGGAAGTAATGATATGACTGGTTCAAAATATTGACATAAAAGTTAGATTTGTTGTCCTAATTTTTGTGGAGAAGGATTAAATAAATGCTTTGAAGAGCTTGCTAATTAAAAGAATCCAGTGGTGAATCTTGTAAGGTCAAGAATGCTTGTTGCCATATGAATAAATAGTTTTTTTTTTATTTACAAATTTGGATTTTCTTAGATTTCATTAGAATTTTCACTAATACTTTGAATAAGTCTGTTCTGGAATTCATAATATCTTATGTTTATATAGTATTTCAAAGTTTACAAAATATCTTTTTTCACAACAATCCAGTGAGGTAGGAAGTGCATATGTTATTATCTCCATTTTATAGATGAGTAAGCCAGGGCTTAGAGAAATCATAACTGTCTCATGCTCACATGGCTAGTAAGTGTCAGAACTGCATCTTGAACCATCCTCTGATTCCAATTTCAGTGTTCTTTCCATAGACCAATTCTTTTATCTACCAATCTATTGTTAAGTGCTGATCTGTGGCAAATTTTTGCTACCAAGAGGTCTTACTTATTAAATTCTATTTATTTGTATTTGTATAATTATTTGTAAATTGTTATAATAACCATATAATCATGTATCTATGAAATATATTTATAAATCGCTTATCCATAACAATTGTTAAATTATTTCTGCATGCTTTATTAAAGTATATTTATTTATAATTTTCTATTTATTTTTCCTGGGCCTGTGATTTCACCAGTGTAGGCAACTTCAGATGAGGAAACTCATTTTAACCAAAGCATATCTGCAAGTATTCTTTACCTTATAAGCTTAAAAAGTTAATTGTGTGGCATACTTAGAGGTTAAGTGATTTGCCCCGGGTAACACAGTTTGTATCAGAAACAAGTGCTCTCTGTAGCTCTGGTAGCTTTTTATGGTCAAAATGAGATTTTCTGATTCTAGGCTTAGTACTCTATCTATGTGTCACCTTGCTGCCCTAGTAGCCATTTAATAAATGTTGAAGTAAGGGGCAGTAGGTGGCGCAGTGGATAGAGCACCGGCCTTGAAATCAGGAGGACCTGAGTTTAAATCTGGCCTCAGACACATAACACTTACTAGCTGTGTGACCCTGGGCAAGTCACTTAACCCCATTGCCTAGCCAAAACAAAACAAAACAAAACAAAATAAATGTTGAATTGATTTGACCAATATACTTGCACAGAACTCTTTTGTTCTTTGGTTAACAAGAAGAAACAAATAAAGATTGAGGTGGCAAAGGAAACATCACATCTTTTTTAAGTAGTTCTGTTAAATACTTTGCAAGCTTTGAAGTGCTATGTAAGTGTTAGCCTTTACTGTTTTTGACCTTTTTTTTCCTGGAAAAAATTATATACAGTTTTTATTTTGTCTGTGAATAATGATAATTTTATAAGCCAGTGCTCCAAGAAGAAAAAAGAATAATGTTGGGATGAAAGACTAGCTCATCCAACTTCCATCTAGGATCTTGAAATGGTATGGCGTGGTATCTGTACAGTACTAGTATAGCCCTTAATTGTATATATGGCAAAGTACCTTTTTGCATAGTAGATTTCCAATCTTTCAGAAGATAAAAAAATATATGTTAGGGTCATAAGGAAATACCCTTAAAGGGAAAACAGATCAAAAATAGAAAATTCTTCCCTGTGTTCAGAGAGGGAAAGAAAAACCAACTGTAAAAGGCAGCCTGAAATTCTTTTGAAACTAGCAAAATAGAAATAGTTACTATGAGCTCTCTCTCTCTCTTTCTGTGTGTGTGTGTGTGTGTGTTTTCTGCCAGTAGTCATAGTTTTCAATCTTTGCTTGGAAACAGAACTCATTGCATCATCTTCTTTTGCCAATAAAGAAATGAAATGTGATTTGTAGAATAATTTCCAAAATTGCCTTGGGAATTAGAATATCACCATTCCCTCTATCCTATAAATGAGCAAATAGATGATGACTATTATAAATAAATCACTCATTTTAAAGGAAAAAGGGGTACAGGATTTTTTTTTCTTAGAAATGAGTGAAACCTCACTACTTTGAAGATGGTTTTAACAACTTATTTCCACTTGACGTTTTAATCATGCACATATAAAACTGGAGGGCTTGCCCTTTACTGGAGAGCTGACTGTCTTTGATTAAGCTGTTATAAGCTCTAGGTACCTAAGCATACCTAAGCATAGTGATATTTTTAACTTAAATTCTCTTACTCTGTTTAGCTTTCGTTGTAAGACACAGGATGCAAACAAGCATTAAAAGCAAAATTGCTATCCTGTAACTACTCTTTGTAGGACTGACTTATTTACATATTTTATAATCTTGGTATTAATTATGGAAGCATTGCACTATTCGCCTCAACTGTAAACATTTCTATTCCAATTTCCCATTACCATAAGTTCTACATCACTGCCCAGTAATGTCTATTTTAAGTTCTATCTAAGCAAAAAAAAAAAAAAATGTGAAGAAGATGAAAAAAAAACTTAGAAATATGTCTGAACCTTCATAATTCCGATCTGCCATCTTTAGATTTCTGTTAGGACAGAGGTGTAACAAAGAAATTGAATCCACAATGACCTGAAGATCTTTTACCCAGTAGTTTTAAACTCTTTCCTTATAACAAAGATGAACCAAGACACTAAAAAATAGCAAAATTGACAGAATTTCATCTCTCTGGCTTATCCGAGCCTAAGTGATAGAACATATTTATAGCTCACGATTTTTTACATGATTCTCCAACAGCCCTATGAGGCAGCACAAGTATTATTATCCCAATTTTAGAGATGAAGAAACTGAGGTTAAGGGACTAGCCACACAGCTAATAAATGGAAGAGCACTGGCAGCTTTCGAACCTGTTTTGTACAGCTTCTGCAACCTACTGGCTGGATTAAAAAAAAATAATTAGTAAAATAGGGCAGAGGCAGCTAGGTGGTACAGCAGATCCAGTGTTGGGCCTGGAGTCAAGAAATCCTGAGTTCAAATTTGGCCTCAGACACTTACTAGCTGTGTGACCCTGAGCAAGTCACTTAACCTTGTTTACCTCAATTTCCTCATGTGTCAAATGAACTGGAGAAGGAAATGGCAAATCATACCAGTATCTTTGCCAAGAAAATGCCATGTAGGATCACAGAGTCATACACAACTGAAATGATTGAACAACACAAAAATAGGGCAATGGACTCTAGCTGTGATAGAGATGAGGAAGGCTGGGAAGAATAAAACCTGCTTTCCTCATTGTTTGTTCACTATTTGTGAAGTATTGTAATCTCAGTGAATCTGCTGATAACGAAATGAAGTATTAGGGCAGTGGAGCAGTAGCTAGGAATATTTCTATCTGGGGCCAAATCAGATGGAGAGAGTGTGAAGGGATGGTGGTGATTTGCCCAAGGTCAAATATCTAGTAAGTAGAAAAGCTGGGATTTGAACCTACAACCTCTGATCCAGTGTTCTTTCTACTCTGTCATATTGCTTTAGTTTGTGGATATAGAAATTGTGGCTTAGAGAGGTAAAGTCCAGGTCACATATCAGGTAAGTGGTAGAGCTAGGATGATATCTATTTTTAAGTACCTGACAGGCTGTCATGCATTAAAGGGATCAGATTCATTCTGTTTGGTGCAAGAGGATTCATTCTCTCTAGAAAGTCAGATTTAGGCTTGAAGAAAGAGGGGAGGGGGCGGAATTAACAATTAGATCTGCATTGTGCAGATGTCAAATTTGAGGCACTGCTAGTGGTTGAAGCAGTTAGTGAATAAGATTAGGGGAAAAAAAAAGGAGAGAAGAGGAAAGGGTTTAGGATAGAGCCTTGAACACCTGACATAAGGAATCAGGAAGAGGCGCCAATGAACAGGAGAAAAAAGGGATAACTGGAAGCAGTAGAATGAGAGCTGGTAGTTTATAGTCACAGAAACTAAGGAAAAGATCATTGAGGGAAAAGAGATGTTCAATAGTATTTAATGATGCAAGAGGGGTCACTATGAAAAGACTATCAATTTACTAACAAAGAAATCATTGGTAATCTTTGAGAAAATAAGTTCAGTTGGGTAAGGGAGGGGGCTGGAAGTCAAACTGTTAAATGAATGGTATGGATGTGGAAGCACCAAATAGAAACAAAGAGGTGGGGCAGCCAATTGATATCATAGAATGGTTGAATAAATCCCTCCCCCCCCCCCCAGTCCTAGGAAGGAGTATATGTATAAGAACATAGGAAGGAAATGGTAGAAACAGAGAGTGAAGTTGTTGTGCATGTTAGAGAGAGAGATAGAAAATATATATGTATCATAACTAGGTCCCAAAAGATTGAAGAAAGTGGAATTAGGTGGTAGTCAGAGGGATTAGATGGGGAGTTGAGTAGGAGATTGGACTCCAAAAATTCCAAAGTTGCTTACAACTCTAGGATTAATGGAAAATTAGCTCTGCTTAATGATTCGGGCATAAAACTTGCCTTCTGAGATTTAGTTCATAACTAAATTGCACGTATTAAAAATTCTAATAAAAATAGTTTTGATTCAGGTGAATCTGAAGTAACGTTTCTTAGCTAGCAGCTGGACTATTTGCAAAAATGGAGACCTCACTGAAAAAGAATTCATGGTACAACATGACCTGCATTTATTTGACTTTCACATGGCTCACTGTGTCATTTGTTTGATTACTACAATATGATACTTTGAAAGCAATTATACAAAAATCTTTTTGTTGCTACAATAAAGCAATATTCTACATAAAATAATTTATTGACTTGGATTTTTTTCCTTATTCTTTCTGGTAGCTGCGGAGATACAAAGGTCTTTGAATCAACTTGGAACACCTCAAGACTCACCAGAATTGAGGCAACAACTGTAAGTGGTTTTTTTTTTTTGCCCCCACAACCAAAGAAATCCATTTCTGTGTTATTTGCAATATAGTGTGTTATTTGCAGTGTAAGAAGTATATATGAAATGAAACTTAAGCTTTTCCATTAAAATCCATCATTGCTCTTTTTAAAATTTTATCATTCCAAAATTGGTTACAAAGTGTATATTTGCGAAATGTTTTAGGATAAACAGTCTTTTAAACAAATGGTTGTGATACCCATGGACCTTAGTGGGCCTTTGCTTTTGAAACAGGTAGTTTCAGGCTCTTATAGTAGAACCACAGGCATCTTTGGGCATCTCCAGGGCAAGTTCTCATCTGGTTCTGAGACTGCTTTGAAGAACCATCTAGAAGACTTCTGGTAGGTTCCAGAGAAGCCCATTATGCCTGAAGGGGCTGACGGACTCTCTCTACCCTACAAGTAGGGTGCTATAGACTTGATGGGGGAGACATTAGATTCTGGGAAAGGATCTAAAGATCAAATGGCATCACTCAGTGGATAATGGGAGTAAATGGCTCCCTTTGTCTACCCTCTTCATATCTAAAAAGAGGTAGGGGACAGCTGGTGACCATCTCATTAATTACATCTGCAAATGTTTCTTGCCACCTTCATACATTTTATTATTGTGATACTACACCACCTTAAAACTACATGGTGGGTTTGCTCTGGCCCAAAATGTTGCTTTTGATATTAGAAGTCACCAAATTTTTAATTAGTTGGAAATGCATTAAATGTGAATACTCCGAAGAGAACTTATGGTTTAATATTATTAGTGTTTTCAAGAGAGTGAATTATATATAGAACATTATTGGAGATAGATTATTGGGGATTTATTCTGTATATATTTACATACATACTTATCATCTTCTATATTAAAATGTGAGAAAATCAAACATTGAATTTATATTTTATATTTGATTCTATTCTGTAATTGGTTCTATTCTGTAACTGACTGAGCTGTGTTTTTTTGTCTCTGAGTTAAGTTCAGAAGTTTATGAGTCCAGAAGTTGTTTTCCTCTCTTGAATTAAGTTTTAAAAGTTGTTTTCCTATAAATAATTTTAATGGAAAGAAAATCATTATCTCTGTACCACTAACTGCCCTTGTACAACTAAAAGAAATCTATTATCCTCGAAGGGTACAAGTGGATGCCAGGGAGTCTGGTCTATTATCTCTGTAACGTAGATGGATGACTGTCCTTCAAGAAAACATGGTCTGTTATCACTAGGACATTAACCGTGCGGGTGGACACCACCAGTGAGCTTTCCATAACAAGATGGAAGGAAGCGTTATTTCTAGCCCTACATTCCAGACTGCTGTCCAATCATATTGTTTTACATCATCTATGACATTTCAGACTTTGTAACCAATCATATTGTTTGCCATCTGTGGCTTCCTGTTCTTTGTTCCCTTGTGTTTTCAAAAATTATATGAAGCCTATTAAGCCCCATCTTGTGGTCTTGGCTTGTGCCTAGTTCATTTTTATTATTGGTCACTAGTCTCACCAATAAAATGAACATGCCCTGGACTTTGTTGCCTCAGTTTACCTTAATTTTTAAACATAACAAATGTAAGATTCTTATGAGTAGAGATTATGTCCTTCATTGTAATTTTATCCCCAGTGGACATATATTAGGCACTTAACAGATACTTATTCATTGATTGATGCATGGAGTCCAAGTCTGGGAGTCAAGATACTTGTTCCTTTTCTCTCTTGATAACTCCCATGGTTAAATCACTTCCCTACTCTGGCCTCAGTTTTTTTATTTGTAAAATGAAATACTGAACCTCTATGTTCCCTCCCAGTTGTGATGTTCTGTGATTCTAATAAGATTTTATGGAGTTCAAATAATTTTAGAAATGATTTTTCAGAGGAATGACAATCTTAAGTAGATAATTTAGCATTTCATAGCCAACATAGAGGCAAAGAGGTAAGATCTATAGGGCAGAGAAAAAGGAAAGGATAAACGATAGGGCCAAGTATGGCTTGACAATTTGAATGTCACCTGTTTCAATCCCACCATCTTAAGTATTTAGTAGGAAGTGGTTGTGCCAGGGACCATATTAGGTGCTGGGATTACAATTTAAAAAAAAAAATTCTTGTCCAAAAGGAACTTAAACTTTGTTGAGAGAAAACAGCATATATGTTGAAAATTAAATACAAAATATATTCACAGTAGACACAGAGATATTTTGAGGTGAAGTTTCAAACAGCTGGAGGCAATAAAAAGAAAGAGTGTAAGGAAAGTTTGAATTTGAAGTTTTAGAGGAGAGCTTATGAAAACAAGGGGCAGCTAGGTAGTGCTGTGGATGAAACACTGGGCCTGGAGTCAGGAAGAACTGAGTTCAAATCCAGCCTCTGATACTTACTGGTTGTGTGACTCTAGTCAAGTCATTTAACCCTGTTTGCCTCAGTTTTGTTATCTGTAAAATGAGCTGGAGAAGGAAATAGCAAACTACTCCATTATCTTTGCAAAGAAAAACCCAAATGGGGTCATAAAGAGTCAGACACAATTGAAACAACTGAACAACAACAGGAAAACAAAGTAAAATTTAATAGGAGTGATGAATTTTTTGGTTAAAGTTGTTTCAATGAAGTTAATAAGGAATTGAAATCTTGAACGTTTAGAATTGATCTCCAAGAAATCTTTAATAAGTTATAGGTTTTTTGCAATTTTGTAACTTTAAAAAAAATTAAAGATGAAATCAGAATTTAAATCAGGATTAGACTTTACTCCTTCCATTCTATTCATATCTACGAACCTCTTGTGTATAGGTTTAAAGATGGAAGGGACATATAAAGATCATCCAGGCCAGTTCCTGCATTTTACAGATGAGGGAACTGAGCAAGATCAAATGCCTTGTCCAATGTAACAAAGGTAATAAGTATCAAAACCAAGATTGTAACCAAAATCTTCCAACTCCAAATCCAATTATATTCTACCACTATCACTAGAGAGAGAAGGTTTTCTTATAATTTTTCAATTATATCAGGAATTTTAATATGAACGGTGTCTAGAACTATGTCAGGCACTAGGGATAAAAATGCAATGAATGAGATAATCCCTACTCATAAAAACTTACATTCTAATGAGGGACATAACAATTATGCATGAGTACGTACAGAATAAATTCCCTATGTTCTATCTCAATCAGAAAATTAGTGTTCTACATACAATTAATTCTATTGAAAACACTAATATTAGACCAGCAGTTCTTTTAGGTTTACTCACATTGAACATATATTCCAATTAATTAAAAATGCATTCACATCTACTGTCTAAAGCATTATTTGGGGCTAGATCAAAAAAATCCACCATCTAGTTGTAAGGTGCTGGAATACCACACAAGTAAAATGTATTCAAGTGATGAGAAGTATTTGATTGTATGCTTCTTAGAAGTTGTGTAAGCAATTTTCATCTTTTTTTCCTGTTGGACTTTCTTGGCATGATTAGGAAATGCTAACAAACTTCAGCAAGTTGATTGACATTTTCATGTAGAAACTCATCAGTCACCTGTCTTGTGTTTAGTTATAAATGTGACAATGAGTGGAAATCTTTCCCAAGAATTTTTATCCTGGGGCCTTGAAATTTAATCAAAAAGTTTCTAAACTGAAAAAGAAGGAGGAAGGAGAAAGCTATAGGGAGAATTTCATTAATGATTTCCAGAAATTCATAGAAGTAAAATTCCAAGAAATTCAATAAATCCCATGGACTCATTTGTCTGTACACAGATACATCTTGACAGGAAAAAAGTAGGTGAGTTTGGGAAACAGATCACAAACCCAACAGAGAGGCATGATAGATAGTGATGGTGGACTTCAGTTAGCTGTACGTTTACTGGAGCTCTCATTACCAACAACAGAATAGCTAATAATTACTTGACTTTCCTTAATGATTCTTTTATCCCTCAAAAGATAGAAGATTATCTACTAGGAGTAATTGTATTCTGGGTTTGATTCTCAGCAATCAGGAAATGATTATTAGGGGTGATGTTAATGATAATATAGGTGAGGAAAGAGACCATTCCACTTTAGAATTTGGGCTATAGAAAAGAGAATATATACAGATACAATATTAACAAATATAGTATAGTTACGTGCACCCTAGATTATGGAAGATCAGATTTCAAAATGTTCAAATATAGAAAAGGTATGGTCCTTGTGCTGAATTTTTGCCAGGGACATTAGTCTGGGAAGAATGAGAAACCACAAGAATGAGGGTCTGAAGACTCAAAGGGAAAGAAGAAATGAAAAATTAGTCTAAAGAGATTGGTGAAGATTCACTGGGAAATCTTCAATCATCTTAGGTAATTTTTAAGGACATACTCAGAAAATGGAAGCAATAGTTCAGTCATACAAAAGTGTGAATTGGTCCTATGATAATAGTAGTAGGTTTAGTAAAAGCCAAGAATGAGGCTGTAGCTGGTAAGGATACCTGAGGACCAAAAGGTATTTTTAGAAAGCTATTTTGGGGAAAACAAGAGAGTGAAAGGACCACTGCTCAGGGTGGGTGTGTCAAAAACAAATGACTAAGAGAAGGAAGAGCTACTCAACTCATAGTTTGTTTCTTTTTATTATGGCACTCTATCTGTATCTATCATTTATCTATGTATCTATCTCCCCCTTTAAGCTTTACAAAGCATTATCCATTTAACTCATTTGATCTTCACAACAACCCTGGAAGGAAAGTGCTATTATTGTGCCTGTTTTACAGATGAGGAAACTGAGGCACAGAGAATTTAAATGACCTCATAGCTAGGCCAGATTTGAATTTAGTTCTTCTTGACTCCAAGTTCATCACTTTATTTGCTGTGCCATCTAGTTTCTTTGCCAAGAAAAAAGACTCTTTTTCCCAGTAAATGACAGAACAAAAAGGGCTGATAGAAACTGAGACAGGCCTAGATTCTCCTTGATGACCTCAAGTTATCTAGTCAAACCCACCTTCCTAAATTTCCCTGTTTCTGACCATTCTCCCAGGTTTTTAGCCTTGGCATTATATTATGCTCAACCTCTTCCTCTCGCTCACCCTGACTATCCAATCAGTAGCTAAATCTTGCTATTTCTAGCTCCACAATATCTGTCACATCAAACCCCTTTTCTCTACTCACACAGCTATCACCTTGGTTTCAGTCTTCTTCTTCTCTCATCTAGATTATTGCAGTGGTCTCCTAATTGGTCTCTCTGTCTCTCCTCTACCTACTCCAGTCCACCTTTGACAAAATACTGCCAAAGTGAATTTCCTTTGGCAGTTTTAGCCATCTCATTTCTCTGCTCAATAAACTCAAGGGTCTCCCTATTTACTCTAGGATAAAATAGAATAAATTCCTCTGTTTAGCTTTTTAAAGCCCTGTACAACCTGACCCCAACCTATCTATATAGTCTCATTAGAATTACTCCCCTGTCCAACCTCTGCCATTTTGCAATCTGGTCAGATTAGCCTTTTCTCTATTCCTTACACGCAATACTCCATCTCCTTTCTTTTGACTTTTCATTCACTGAACTGTCTCTCATGCCTGGAATGTATTTCCTCTTTGCCTTTGCCTCATAAAATCTCTCTCTTCCATCAAGATATAACTTCAGCACCACCTTCTACATAAAACATTTCCTGTTCCCTTCAGCTGCTAATTTTTTTTTTATATCCTTTCCTGATAGTGTCTTCCCTGTGTTGATTACCCCCAATGTATCTTGCATATATCTTCTTTGAATGTTGTTTCCCCATTAGTCTTTGAGCTCCTTGAG